AGTGTCTACACCAACTGCAACCATTCCAACAATACCAATATCTTATGAAGTTTATTGCAATGAATATTTAAATATTATTTGTAATTTAAGAAATAATCTTTTAATGAATCAATTTGATAAAATATTTTAGTATAGTCAGCTAATAGTAAATATAAAAAAATAAAATATAAAAATTAAAATATTTATATATAATAAATAATAATATAAACAAAAAAGAAAATATATGTAAAATTTAAAAAAAAAAAAAAAAAAAAAGAAAATAAAAAATAAATAAAAAAAAAAAAAGAAAAATAAAAGAGTATTTGTATATAGTTTATTAGTTATTTTATTTGGAAAATATATTTTAAAAATTTATTTATTTTACTTGGATGGTTTTTAGTTTAATTTTCCTTGTATTGTTTAATATAAAATTTATATGTGTATTAATGGTGATATATTTATTTATATTACTAGACTTTTTTACATTTATGGCGAATTGGTTATTATTTTTTATTTATTTTTATTTTTGGGTATATACAATATGGTGGTTTCTTAAAAAATTTGAATTGAATCAATTTCTCTTATTATTAAAATTATTACTATTGTTATGTTGTTGCTAATGTTATTGCCTATGTTATTGTTAAACTCTGACACGACCTGTACTTGAATTTGCTTTAAGTGCTTGTTTTTCTTTAAATTCCTCTTGTGCTTCAAAAACCATTCTTTTAATTGTATTATCATACCAAATTTGTCTTTTTGGGATTTTCTTTTGGGCTTCATATAAAAATTGTCTTTCTAGTAAAGGTAATGTAATTTCAGATGGACCAATAATTGGTCTCATATTCTTAACTTTGGTTTCCTTAAAAACATTAAAATTATACATTTTTTTATTATTTGTTTGGGCTTGATAAACAACTTCTTCTGTAATACCTACACTAAAACTGAATATCAAAAAAAAAAAAAAAAAAGGTATTAATAAAAGTTTTTAATATCAATAAATTATAAAATATATCATACCTTGTACCAATAAAAACAACTATATCGGCTTCTTCGATCCAATCCATTGCTTCATGGTAACGATAAAAGCTGTGGCTATTATAATCTTCGTCAAATAATAACGATTGTGGTAAAATTGGGTTTGAACAGCTTGGACATGGTGGTGGATTAATTTCAAGATCACCACCTTTCATTGAACCTTTAATTGCATAGTCGTTGATATCGATTGATGTAATAGTTTCATCGTATTCATAGGTACAGTTTTTGGTGATGCATTTGTACATTGAAATTCTACCATGAATTTCAATTAGTTTGGACTCTGGTACTTTTGCCTTTAAGTGTAATTCGTCGACATTTTGTGTAATTACATTTGCGTTACAAAGTTCCACAAAATTTGTTATAGATAAATGCCCTGGGTTTGGTAATGCGTCTAAATATTCTTGCTTTTCATGTGTACGTAACCAAAATACATTATAAAATGATTGCTGTTATTTTTTTTTAATGTTGCATATATTTTTTGAGAGAAATAAATTTGGAAAAATTCGAAAAATAAAAAAAATAAAAATTAGTTATTTTTTATTTTTTTTTATTTTTTTTTTAAACAAGATTTATAAATAATTTATTATTATTTAAAAACTGTTTTAATATTATTAATATTTTATTACTTACAGGATCCTCGATAAACTTCTTTCTTGTACCCCAAGTGGTGATAAATGAACCCCAAATAGCATCTAATTTTATTTTTAATATTTTAAATGTGATTAATAATTAGTTAAAATAATTTAAATTATTTTGAAATGATTTTTTTTTTTTTTTTTTTTTTTTTTTACGTCAATAAAGAAAAATGAGAAATTTTAGAAATAATAATAATAATAAAACTTACTTTTTGAATTACGATATGGAGAAATACCACTATGATTAAAATTAAAAAATTAGTAAATAATAATTAATATTATTAATAAATCAAAAAAATACGTACGAGCTAATACTTAAACCAGCACCTGTTATAAATAATACTTTTTTACCTGACAACATTTCTTTAGCTAGACTTTCAAATTCTTTTTTATTCTTTAAATAATATTTCTAAAGAAAAATAAAAAAAAAAAAAAAAATAAATAAAAATATTAGAAATGTTTAAACATATATATTTATAAATATTATATTTTTAGTTTTTTATAATTACCATTTCTAAATCTTCTTCTTGTATAACTTCGTCATCATCAATACGCATATTTTCAAATACAATATCTTCAGTCATTTTTAAAATTATATGTTTATTTTGAATTATTATTATTATTATAAATACTAATTGCTAATTACTATAAGTTTATTTTCTGTTTTGATTTTTGATTTTTGATTTTCTATTTTAAAATTTTTATTTTCTATTTTAAATTTATTGAATATTATATTTGTTAATAGTACATAAAAAATATTTTAGAATTAGTTATTGTTAAACAATATATTTTTTGTATAATTATATATATTATTATATGTTTTATTTAAAAATTTTAAAATAAATGAATATTAAAAATTTTTTTTTTTTTTTAAATTTTAAAAATTTTAAATTTTTTTTTTTTTTTAATTTTTTTATTTTATTTTATTTTATTTTTATTTATTTTTATTTATTTTTTATTTATTCTATATTTATAAAAAGTAATTCGTTTTTAATTTAAACAAAAACAAAAACTAAAACAAAAAAAAAAAAAAAAAAAAAAAAAAAAAATAATTCAAATTTATTTATATATATCACCATAGTTGATGAATTTAAATTATAGATTTTTTGGTGAGAGGGGATTTTGGTGTGGGTATTTACATTAAATTTTAACCACCATCTTTTTATTTTAATTAAAATTGTTTAAATAAGAGGAATCTAAAATTTGGGAGTAAATAGATTGTTTAGATTAAAATATATTAAAACCAATACTAATGTACTATTTAATATTTGAATACATTATTTATATTTTTCCATTGTTTTCATTCTGAATAAAATTATTTTTTTTTTTTTAAAAAATTGATTAAATAAAAGAGATTTATTCAATCAAAAATTGTTTAAATAAAATAGAATTCCCCCATGTATGGGGAATTTAGGGAATTCCTAAATCAAAATTATTTACAGAGGGGCGTATTCAAAACCAGGTAATAAAAACATTTCCATTTTAACAAGATATTTATTAAATTTTATTATTTTTTTTATTTTTTTATTTTTTATTTTTTAAAAAATTTTTTAAAAAATTTTGTTTAGCTTTTTTTTTTTTTTTTATAATGTTTTGAAAAACAATAATTTTAGGTGTATCTGAAGAACAGAAGATAAACACATATCTAAAATGAATAAATTAATATTATCATTAATTATAGCAATTGTTGGAGTTGTTGCATATGTCAAAGCAATTCCATCAGCTTACAGCATTCCAAATGTTCCATATCATCGTCAAGAAACCCAATATAATTGCGGTAAGTAAATGCTATTTGTGTATGTCAAAGTGGGAAAAGAATAGGGATTAATATAGACGATAATTATTTAATTTAGGTGATGCATCACTTCAAATGGTACTCGAATATAATGGAAGAAAAGTCGATCAAAAACAATTAGACGATGTTGCTAGAACATCAAACAAGGTGGGTACTTGTTCATATGATATCGTTAGAACACCAAGATTTTCAATTTTAAGTTCTACTCAAGGTACAGACGAACCAAAACACGAGGCTCAACATGGTTTCAAAAACTACCCATTGGGTTTATTATCAGTAGGTTATTCATCGGCAACCCTTTGGCTAGATGAACTCAAGGCTTTAGTTGCTCAAGATTTTCCAGTTATTGTTTTAATGGCATATTTACCAACTGATCGTGGTGGTCATTTCAGAGTTATTACTGGTTATGATGTATGTTTTATTTTTTTTTTTTTTAAAAAAGCTCACCCACTCCACCCCACCACATGGTTTTATTAATTTTAAATTTTTATTTTTATAGGATAACAATCAAATTATCATGTCACACGACCCATGGGATCGTGATGGTCAACCAAGATTCTTCAATATGTCATATACTGAGTTTGTTGATCTTTGGAATTACGTTGAACCAGAATCTCCACGTGGCACTCCATATATGGGTGCTATTATGTATCCACTTAATGTCGAATCTTCAGCCGAATTGCTCTCTGGTAATCAAACTAAAGTAACTGCTTCATTCTCTTATGATAATTATTTCCCAATCGATAATATAAATGCGTAGGTTTTAAAACAAATAATTTTAAATAATAATAATAGAGATACAATTTATTAAATATTAATTTATTTTTTTTGGCAGTACATTACCAACTGGTTTACAAGCTTTAACATCAATTAAATTACCAAAAGGTGTAGAGTTATCACAATCAACAGAATTACTCAATTCACAACAAAGCTCATATACTACAAGTTCATTTACCCAAAATTCAAAATACAGTTTCTCATGGATTATCGAATGTGATTCAACCAATTGCGATGGTTATACATATGAAATTACCACTGAAATTATCATTACAGATTCATTACCATACACATACTTTAGAAATGGTTTCAATTTCCCAGCATATTCATATATTGATGCTGTTGGTACAACCATTTCTGTAACTATTTAAAAAATAAAATACAAAAACATTATTTATTATAAAAAAAATACAAAAAATATTTATTATAAAAAAAAATTAAGAAAAAATTGATTAATTTATGAATAAATATTATTATAAATTTATGTTTAGGTTTTTATATAACTATAATTATTTATTTGAAAAATGATGATTGCAGTTCTTTCTTTTAATTCTTTTAAAATAATAGAACCATCATCGGAAAGTATCATCATATTTTTTATTTTTTAAAGAATATTAATGGATCGCACTATAGATATTTTCTTTTGCTTTGTTAATAAACATTTATTTTCTTTTGTTTTTTTTTTTGTTGTTTTATTTCGTTTTAATTAAAAAAATCTAATAATATATTTTATTTTAATTTTAATTTTTTTATTTCGGTTATTTTATTTTTTTTATTATTTTTTTTTAAAATAATTTTTTGATTTCCAATGGGACTAATTGAACTAACCAATTTAGGTTTGTTTTAATTGGGTATAGATTTTCTAAAATAAAATAAAATATGGCCAATAATAAAAAGTTAGGATAATAAAAAAAAAAAAAAAAATATAAAAAAAAAAAAAAAATAGATTTAAAACCAATATAAATAATTTTTTTATTTTTTTTTTTATTTTTTTTTTTTAAATAAGGGCCAACGGGAAAAAACTTTTTATCTTCCTAATTTTTTTGTAAGCTGCATTTATTAATATAACCTTGGCTTTGTTTTTTTTTTTTTTTTTTTTTTTTTTATCAAATTGATTTATAAAATTCTTAAAAAAAAATATAAAAAAATAAATAAACAAAACAAAACATTAGTTTTAAAAAATAAATAATAATTTAAAATAATATTTATTAATATTTAATTGTTTTTATTTTTTTCTTATTTAAAAAAACAAAAAGGAAAATAAAATAAATCTAGTTTTTTTTTCTTTATAATATTACACCCATTTGTAAAAATAACTTTATTCCAAAAATTAAAAGTCATTTTTTTTTTATAAAAATTAAATTGCTCCAGTTTTTTTTTTTTATTAAAAAATGAAATATAATATTTTATTATTTGTATCCATTGTATTTTCTTTTATTTTATTTATTCATTGTGAAAATAGTTCAAAACCACTTATAGGTTACGAATCTGGAGATGTTTTTAATGGATTCAAATTATTAGTCAATAGGTACTATTACCCAGACTCCATTATATTAAATCCTAATGTAAGTTTAATAATTCAAAATAGCTTAAATAATGGTAAATATTAATTTATATAGTTATAATTTTATAAATTTAAATTAATTTAATTTTTTTTTAAAAGTTGCTAAAGTGCAAAACGATGGACATACAAGCTATTCAGGAAAAAGATTTTGTTTGGATTATCAGGAATCTAAAGTAAATGTTGATAATCATCAGGTTTCTGTTGTTGATGTTTGTATTTCATTTTTAACACACCCACTTACCAAATTTTTTTTTTTTATTTAATATTAATTTTATTTTTATTTAATTTTATTTAGATTATATTGTTATATAATATTCTTCTATTACCACCATTTTTTATTTTAATTGTTATATTTTTATATAATTTATATTAAAACAAAAAACAAAAAACAAAAAAAAAACTAAAAAATTTTTAATGTTTTTTTTACAATTCAAAAATTATTATTACATATTGTAACCTAATTTATAAATGCAACTAAATAAATTAATTTTTTATTTATAACAAATTTATATTGTATATTTATATTTAAATTAAAAAATCACCCAATATTTTACCGTTATTTAAACAAAATAATATCTAATGTGTTTTATCTTGAATAATTAAAAAAATCCTTAATAATTAAAAAAAAAAAAATAACAGCAAAAAGCTGCATAATAATAAATAATTTGATTACGGCGAATTTCTAAAAAAAGATTTTTAAAGGGTTTTTTTTTTGATTTTATTTTTTAAAATTTTTTTTTTTTTTTTCTTTTTTTATAATTTTTTTTAAAAAAATATAAATATATTTATTTTTAAATATAAATAATATAAAATGAATTATATAGTTGTTTTAGTTATTTTTGTTATTACTCTTTATTTCTTTAATGTAAGTTGATTTAATTAATTTTTCATTTTTTATTTTTTATTTTTTTAAATTATAATTATTTTTATTAATTGATTTTTATTATATATTGTTATTTTTTTAAAATTAGAATGATAGAAAGAGTAAAATCAATTCTAAAATACCAGGTCCAATTGGTTTACCAGTTTTAGGTCATGTTTTGTATATGACTGGAGATATCCATTTACAATTTCAAAAATGGTTCAAACAGTATGGCACTATCTTTAGAGTTAGAGTGGGTGTACATGAAACTGTTGTAATTACAGGTTATCCAACACTTAGAAAGGCATTCATTGAAAATTCAGAAGCATTTGCAAGCAGATGGCAACCAAATAGCAGATACTTTGCAAATCAATTTGGAGAAATGGCATTTTTAAATGGTGAAAAACATGCTCTTTTAAAGAAAGTAGTATTAAGTGAAATGACTACAGTTAGAATTAAAAAAATGGAAGATCATATAAAAAAAGAATGTGAAAAGTTAATCAAGTTATTCGATCAACATGCAGATAGTAATGAACCTTTTGAAATCAATAGTTATTTACATATGTTTTCATTGAACATAATCCTTAGATTTTTATTCGGTGTAGATTATCCATATGATAAGGTTTCACAAACTGAAGGTATAATCAAAGCAATTATGGACTTCTTTTTAGTTGCTGGTACTCCTGTAGTCTCTGACTTTATTCCATGGATCAAGCCAAATCCTAAACATCCATTTTTTGTTACCTACAACAAGCTCGCTGAAGAAACAGATGTTTTAATCAAAAAGTATCAAAAGACCAAACAAGAAGAAATAGAAAACGGTACCTTTTTAGAAGAAAATGAAACAATAGTTGGTGGTTTAGTTAAAGAATACGAAAAAGGAAATATCAGTTGGGGTAATGTAACTCATACTGCAATTGATATGGTTTCAGCTGGTAGTGATACAAGTGCCAATACAATGATCTTTTGTTTAATCGAACTCATTAACCATCCAGATATTCAATCTAAATTAAACAATTGTATTTCAACTTCAATTTTTCCAAATGAAACTGTAATTACCCATAGTAAATATCGTTCATCTATTCAATATTTAACAATGGTAATGAAAGAAACCTTCCGTATGTACCCCATTGGACTTTTAGGTATTCCACATGTAACATCAGTTGATGTAGAAGTTGAAGGTGTCAAAATTGCTGCAGGAACTCAAGTATTCCAAAATATCTATGCTTCACATAGATGCGAAGAATTCTTTAGTAGTCCAAATGAATTTATACCAGAAAGATTTATGGAATCATCAAATTTAAATTACGGTAGCCAAACAAACCTTGTTCATTTTGGAATCGGTGTAAGAGACTGTATTGGTAAATCATTAGGTGAAACAGAAATTTTTACATTATTATCAACTCTAATTAACAGATACGAATTTATTAACCCAGATCCATCAAAACCATTAAATGATGTTGGCTCTTTTGGTTTAACATACCAACCACCAAGAACAAAGGTATTACTTAAAAAAAGATAAAATAAATAAAATATATTTTCAAAAAAATCCTAATAATAATTAATCCAGAATCTTTTCTGGAAACTTTATTTTTTTTCTGAAAAGAAAAATATGAATTATGAATTACGATTTATAAATTATTTTTTTTTTTATTTTTATATTTAAATTTTTTTATTTTTCATTTTTGGATCTGGTATAAAAACAAATGGATTTGTTTAAAAAAACCAATAAATAAAATAATGAAGTAAATTTAAATAATAGAAAATAAGTTTCCTTTTACTTTTTTTAATGGTCAATTTCATCATTTGATGATAAAACAGTGGGCTATTAGAGGATCCACTTTGATAACTAATTAGGCTAAGAGTTGCTGTGGTATATTTGCCAACTATTGCTCTTCACATTCTGCCATTTCTGACCCATTACTTTTTGAGTAATGATTGGAGTGGTTATAACATCTTGACTCTTTAAAAGATTCATTGCTGTTGTGAATTGGAGCTTTTGAAAAAGGTATTTTACATGATTTGGCAATATCATAGATTTGTTCTTTTTTCAATGCTAATTTAGATTCTGAATCTTTCAATTTTAATTTAAATTCAAAAATTTCTTTTTTTGCAACTTTTTTTATTTCCGATAGTTGTTCAGATGCATTCGATAATCTTGCCTCGGCATGTACTTTATGGTCATTGAATCTTTTAAATTGAATCTGGATTTCATTATAAAGTTGTGGGTTTGCTTAATATAAGATATTAGTAAAATGAAATAATGATGATGTGTAAAAAAAGATAGAAACCATGGTTTAGACTGTCGATTATTTATAAAATTAATAAAATCATTAGAAAATAAAAAAAGAAATATGTTATAGATTTTTAATCTTTATATATTTATAAATTTATAAAATCATTAGAAAATAAAAAATAAGTATGTTATAAATTTTTAATCTTTATTTTTTTATTAATATATAATTATATAACTAACTCTTTATGAAATATAAAAATGAAATCTGAATTGATAATAATTAAATTGAACTAAATATACTTTTTAACTGATTGTTATTTGTTAATTTAATTATTATAATTGATGTTGAAATAATATAAAATATGAAAATACCAATGAAATCTTTTTGATACTGAAAATATTATTAAAATCATTTGATGTTCCAATATATTTTCCTGGCCAGGGAAAATGAATTTCTTCCATCAAATAGATTGAAATATGTGAATGTTTGATTCTATTATTATTATTATTATTTTTTTTTTTTTTTTTTTTTTTTTTTTTATAAAATTATTAATTATTATTGATTTACTAAAAGTTCTTTTTAAAGCTTTAGGGTGGATGATGCAGCTGCTTATGAAAGCTGATGCTGATGATGATGAATGCTGATGGTGATGAGGGGCAAGATGAATTCTAATGATTATGATAATGCTGAGGACCAAGACGAATGCCGGTGAGGATGCTCATGATGATGATGATAACGCTGAGGACCAAGATGAATGCCAGTGAGGATGCTAATGATAATGCTGAGTACCAAGATGAATGCCAGTGAGGATGCTGATGATAATGCTGAGTACCAAGATGAATGCCAGTGATGATGCTGATGATAATGCTGAGGACCAAGACGAATGCCAGTGATGATGCTGATGATAATGCTGAGGACCAAGATAAATGCCAGTGAGGATGCTGATGATAACGCTGAGGACCAAGATAAATGCCAGTGATGATGCTGATGATAATGCTGAGGACCAAGATGAATGCCAGTGAGGATGCTGATGATAATGCTGAGGACCAAGATGAATGCCAGTGAGGATGCTAATGATAACGCTGAGGACCAAGATGAATGCCAGTGAGGATGCTGATGATAACGCTGAGGACCAAGATAAATGCCAGTGAGGATGCTGATGATAACGCTGAGGACCAAGATAAATGCCAGTGAGGATGCTAATGATAATGCTGAGTACCAAGATGAATGCCAGTGAGGATGCTGATGATAATGCTGAGTACCAAGATGAATGCCAGTGAGGATGCTGATGATAATGCTGAGGACCAAGATAAATGCCAGTGAGGATGCTAATGATAACGCTGAGGACCAAGATAAATGCCAGTGAGGATGCTGATGATAATGCTGAGTACCAAGATGAATGCCAGTGATGATTCTGATGATAATGCTGAGGACCAAGACGAATGCCAGTGAGGATGCTAATGATAATGCTGAGTACCAAGATGAATGCCAGTGATGATGCTGATGATAATGCTGAGGACCAAGACGAATGCCAGTGAGGATGCTAATGATAATGCTGAGGACCAAGATGAATGCCAGTGATGATGCTGATGATAATGCTGAGTACCAAGATGAATGCCGGTGAGGATGCTGATGATAATGCTGAGGACCAAGATGAATGCCAGTATTGATGTTGGATATGTGTGGTTATGCTGCTGTATTATGACTTTGGATGTGGCGTGATGGAACAAAGACCCCAAATTTTTGATTAGACTTTAAACAATAAGCGTTTTGATATTATAAAGAAAGAATTTGAATTAAACTAAATAAATATTTAAAATTAAGTGTTAGTATCTTTTATAATCAAATATAGTTATATTTATATTAATGTTATTATTATTTTTACCTTTAAATTTTGCTTTTGTAATGGTTTTTGGATTTATAAGTATCTACTTGTCTTTTTCTGAGCTTTTTCTAAAGGGTTGAATTGTATGATGCAATATTTATTATTTATAGTTGATAATGATGATATTATTTCTTTAATTCCTTTGATGATTATGTTAACTATATTAAATTTAATTGAGATTCATATAGTCAACAGATTCTTCTTGATTTGAATCATCAAATAAATGGTTGTCGTTATTGATAAAATATTCATCTGGAAGGTAGTCATCGGGATTGAAACCATATTCGTTATCGTTGTTGTGAACGAATCCAGAGTCGTAATTATCATTATGATCAGCGTGGGAATTGGAGTCTGATCTATTATCATTGTTGTTGTCACCATTATTTGAATCATCATCGGAATCTTCATCGGAATTATCATCTGATATAACATCATAAATTGATTTCTCTGCTTGACCCTCTATCTGCAATTAAATAAAGAAATAAATTAATAAATGTTCTATTAATTATATAAATATGAATGTATGAATTACTTACTTTGACAAAATAAAACTCTTTTCTACATAATGGACAAGTATTATCTTCCTTTAACCATTTACGGATACAGTTGAAGCAAAATTTATGAGAACATTCGATGGAGCAGACATTGGTGGTATTTAATGTAATGTAACAAATGGAACAGTCACCAATATTTTCATTTTCTTGCTCAAGACGTTCTTGTTCAATTCTTTCTTTATCAGCACGTTCTTTTTCTAAAATTTCTTGTTGAATACGTGCTCTTTCAATTGCTTCTTGTTGGATACGCTCTTGTTCTAGTCTATAATTTTCAACACGTTCTTGTTGTAATCTTTCTTCTTCCAACTTTTCTTTTTCAATACGGTCTTTTTCTGCTTGATCTCTTTTTAATTTTTCTTCATCAGCAGAATCGAAAATTGGGTTGTTTGATGGGGTTGGTGAACCTGCACACTCATAACGAGAATGGTCTACATTGAATGATGGGTATTCTGATTGGTGGGCACTTTGTTGGTTGGTTGCTGGAATACTTGATGGTTCACCTGCAGTATTGAAACGAGAATGAGCACTATTAAATGCTGGGTAATTGGAATTTGCCCTTGATGGTGTAAATGGTTGTTGTGGTTGTTGTGGGCATTGTTGTGGAACATTAAATGATTGAGAATTACCAGCGGCATTATAACGTGAATGCTCTCTGTTTAATGTTGGATATCTATTTGAACGTGCTCTTGAGGAATTGTGTTGTGGGCGTGAGCGTGATTGTGGACGTGGACATGGACGTGGACGTGGACGTGGATTTGGACGTGGAAGTGGTTGTGGACGTGAACGTTGTTGTGCGCGTGAGCGTGGTTTTGTAGATGATTGATTGATTGTTGTTGCGGCAGTGGCAGTGGTGGTAGCAGCATAACGTGAGTGAGATGGGTTGAATGTTGGGTAAATTGGTTCTGGCTTTGGTTCTGGCTCTGGCTCTGGCTCTGGCTCTGGCTCTGATTCTGATTCTGATTCTGATTCTGGCTCTGGCTCTGGCTCTGGCTCTGGTTCTGGTTCTGGTTCTGGTTCTGGCTCTGGCTCTGGCTCTGGCTCTGGCTCTGGCTCTGGTTCTGATTCTGATTCTGGCTCTGGCTCTGGCTCTGGCTCTAATTCTTGTTCTGGCTCTGGTTCTAATTCCTGTTGTTGTTTCTCGAATTCATACATAGCTTTAAAGAGTGATCTATAACCAGGGGTTGATCCAGTGTGTTTTGGTTGTGATTGTGGTACTGATTCTGGTTCTGGTTCTGGTTCTGGTTCTTGTTCTTGTTGTTGGCGCTCGTACTCTTCCATAGCTTTAAATAGCATTCTATAACCAGGGATTGGTCCAGTGTTTTTAGGTTTTGGCTGTGGCTGTGGCTCTGGGTGTTGTTGTTGTTGTTGTTGTACTTGTTGTCTTAGGAGCTCTTGTTCTAAGAAAGCTGTACAGATGGCGTTGACATCAGCATTGGTGTTGGAGTTGGAGTTGACATCAGCATTGGTGTTGGCGTTGGCGTTGGCGTTGGCGTTGGCGTTGGCGTTGGCGTTGGCGTTGGCGTTGGCGTTGGCGTTGGCGTTGGCGTAGGCGTTGGCATCAGCATTGACGTTGGCGTTGGCGTTGTTGTTGGCGTTGGAGTTGGAGTTGGTATTGGTGTTGTTGGTGTTGTTATATATAACAATATAAAAATGTTGAATAATATATAAAAGTGAAACACCAATGACAAAAACACAAAAATAATATAAATAATCCATTATTGATTTAAATACGGAGTGGTGATATGGATTATTATTTATAAGTTATTTATTATTAATTAAAATAAAAATTATTATTGTTATTAAAATTTTATTGTATGTATTATAATATATTAAAAAATAAAGTTATATAATTATTTTTATGTTGAAAAAAAAAAAAAAAAATTTATTTCAAGCTATGAAAAAATTAAAAAAAAACAAAAAATTTAAATTAAAAAAAACATAAAAATTTAAATTAAAAAAAACATAAAAATTTAAATTAAAAAAAATATAAAATTAAAATTAAAAAATGATTATAAAAATTATGTGGGGGTTTTGAAAACCCGGTTTTCCCACACAATGCCTTTTTTTTTTTTAGTTTTATTATTTGAAGTTAAATAGTTTTTTTTCCTAATAAAGAAAAAAAAAAAAATCAGGAACTGCATGATTACGAAAAAAAAAAAACTAAATTAATCATTGTAAATAAAGATATGAAAATTACTTTTTTTTAATGATTATTATTTATTATTGGTTTATTTATTATTTTTTTTATATTTTTTTATATTTTACATTATGATTATAATAAAAAAAATAATATTTTTTAATGAAAAAAAAAAAAAAAAATAATAAATAAAAATAATAATTTATAAAAATTAAAAATGTATATTTTTATTTAAATAATAAAATAAAAACAATAATGCTTTTAACAAATAAATATAAATCAGAGTTTGTGTCAATTTATTTTATTTTTTTTTCTAAATAAAAAAAAGAAATATGTCGAATCATCTTTTTATTTTTTTTTTAATTTTTTTTCATATATATATAAAATTTATATTAAATACAACCCACTATTTAAAAATCAACTATTGAGTTTTTTTATATTTATTAGTTATATTTCTATTAATAAAAACCCTAATTTTATACATTTAAAAAAATAAAAATAATTATAAAAATTGATTTTTTAAAAAATAGAATTTTAAATAGAATTTTAAATAAAATTTAAAACTTATTTTACAAAGATAACTATAAATTAAAAACCATTATTTAATTAATTAAAAAAAAATAATAAATTAACCAATATTTTTTTAATTACGGTAGCCAAACAAACCTTGTTCATTTTGGAATCGGTGTAAGAGACTGTATTGGTAAATCATAAGGTGAAAAAAAAAATTTTACATTATTATCAACTCTAATTAACAGATATTTATTAACCCAAATCCTTAAAAAACCATTAAATGATGTTGGTTCTTTGGTGTTAAATATTTACCACCATCAATAAAAATCTTAATTAAAAAAAGATAAATTAAAAAAAAATTTTATTTTTATTTAAATATTTAATTTATTTATTAATTTGTAAAAACTATTTATTATGAATTAATTTTGATGGGGATTATTGGAGCTATTGCTTGATATTTTTTTTATTTCTTTTGAATTTATTTGGTGTTTTTCTTTTATTTTATTTGTAAATGTTCCTGGGTTAAAACAATATAATAAAGCCACTGTTGGGGCTAACTCTGTAATTACTAGACCTATGAAACTAAAAACAATTGAGTTTATATTTGATACCAGTACTAATACAAATATACAATGAAGTATGAATCCTATACTGCAAACAATTGAAACTACGAATATTTTTTGTTGGTGATCAGAGTTAGATAAGGTTTTGATGGATTTCAAACTTAAAGTTTTGTAGAGACTTCTTCCTAAATAAACAAATAAAATTGCAAAAACTATTTTATATATTAGTAAATATATAAAAATGGTTTTAAAATTTTAATAATAAAAAATAAGACTATTGACCTACCCAAAGAAATAATTGACTGAACTACAGCATATGAAATACTAATTGCTTTTTGTGTATTTGAAATTTGGCTGGGAATAAATAAACGGGTCCCACATTGATTATCTGGTATAACTTTGGAATATTGATAGATTAAAATGATTCCAATAAAGAAAAGGTAGAGTAAAACATTTATAAAGAGTACAATTATATGCAGTCTTTTTAAAAGGGTTACTGTATTTCTGTTTTTTTTTTGTACCAAATAAACTATCATAAACCAAAGAGAGAGTACAATACTAAAAGTTGAAAAATAAATAAAAGTGGGTAGCACAACAAGAATATAGTCTAGTATTGGATTGTTTAAAAGTTTTCCTTCAACTAATAAGAAAAAATATACTAAAAAATTTTTAATTAGAAATTTTTTTTTTTTTTTTTTTGTTATAAAAAACTAACATACCTGATCTAATTGTAATAAATACTGTAACTGTAATGGTTATAAGCTGAATAAGTTGAAAAGATAAAATAACTTTCTTTATGTATAAATATATAATTGTAATGACTTGATAGAATCCAAACAATGAAACTAAAAGGAAAAGAACTGCAAGAGTATACATCAGCCCTATTGTTTGTTGATCAAATAATTCTTTTTTGTTATTTTCCCAGTTAACTAAACGATTAATTTGAAAATATATTGGATTTCCTTCTGGTACATTGAGTACATTGGTGCAGTAAAAGTCTGACACTTTATAACTATCTAGATTTAATGGAGTTGGGATTGATTGATTCTCTTTTTGTATTGCAATGTCTAAAACAGTATATTTTTTGTTAATAGTTTCAGATAAAGTTGAAATTTTGAAACAAATATTAATATTACTAATGCCTGATCTTGAGGAAATCATGATACCATCGCTGATTAATGTGCCAATTATAGCTTTTTTAGAATTTAAAACTGCAAAGTTATCTGGTTTATTATAGGATACAAAGTTTGATGCTAAAGAATCAGATACTGTAGATGTATAGATTCCTTTATTAATTTGGGAAATTGTGAGTGTTTGGCATGTTTGTTGAATTGAATCATTGCTAAATTCCAGTCTTCCAATTTCAAAAGAAAAGTTTGATTGCAGCGATGGACATACCTTGGTTATTCCAATAACAGGAATTGATGATTCAAAACAAGATGATCCATCCCCACAGCTGCATACTAAAGAATCTAATGATTTTCTAATTCTAAATGAAAATTTAACATAAAATTATTAGTATATATAAAATATATACATTTATATAAATTTAAATATAATGAATACCTTTCAATTCTACATAACGATTCTGTACGATACAATTCAGAATTTTGAGAACCTAATGCTTTTTTTATATTTGAATAAAATAATTCATAATTGAAGGTTTTTTTAATTTGATTAGAAACATATGGAGTTGGTGTTGTAAACCATTGCGTTGAAACATAAATTCCTGGTAACCATTCTCCCTCCTCCCATGCGAATTTATTTGTGAATTCATTCAAAGAATTGTTACAGTTTAAACATTGATCTTTATCCATCCCATTAAAATAAAAAGAATATGATGATCCGAATGGTACCAAAATTTTACAACCCAAGTGTGATAAGCATTCATCCTTATTTATAGAAGGTTTCCACCATTTAAAGCCAGCCTCCGAGCATTGTTCCTTATTCATAGGAGCGGTAAATAAATAGCATCCTAATGGAGAATATCGATGGTTTGCCTATTATATATGTAATATATTAGAAATAAATAATTGTGATAATAATATTAAATACTTTTAATATCTTACAGGATTACAAAAATAATTCGGATCGTTAGGTGGACGGACACACCTTCCTAAACTGTTTGATAAAGTTATACTTCCCCCTTTAAAATAAGAATCATCAGAGCATATACCAGATTGATCTTTACATTGTTGCTCAGAGGTACATTCTATGTCTTTTGAAAAACAACTACCTAAACTACCCTTATCTCCTGCACAATCGCCTAAAGGTTTGTTTGAACAATCTGTCCAAATGAAATTTGATGCTTCGCATTCTTCTTTATCCATTTGAAAAAAACATATTCCATATTCATTTGAAAAATTACCACCAGCTATTACACAAAACTGGTTTTGGTCATTTGAAAAACAACCAGAATATTCATTTTCCTCCGTACCACCAATATAAACACATTTTTTACCGCACCCATGTGTGCACTTTCCATAACTTTCCCTGCACTCTTTTTCTGATGTCACATTTGTTAAATAAGATCCATTGGGTAAAATGCAAATGTTTTGAGATTGGCACGAGGTTTGGTCCTTATTCTCCAAGCTATAGCATTTGTCATTTGAACAATAACCGCAAAATGACGATACTGAATCACACTGAGCTCTACATTCTTCTGAGTTTTCGCATGGCAATGATGGACAATAGCCAAATGAGCTACATTCTATTTCTTTGGACTCTAATTGAAAAGAATAGCCAAGATAACAAACATCAAAATCAATCATGCAGGTAGAATCTAAACAACCTCTTTTAATTTTACAATTAAAGTCTTGATAGTTTGCAATATAGGAATAAGTTGAACGGTTATATATGGACTTTCTTCCGATGCAATCTAGAGATAAATGTTGATGGTACACATTATTGATTGTGGTTTCATTAACTATAGTTGTTCCATTTATAAAATAAAATAGAGTTCCAATTGGCAGTTTCTTTAAAACACACTTTATATATTCTCTATCGATCACTTCAAAATCTGATTCGCAAACTCTTTGATACAGGTCACACTTTTTGGACCCATAATTGATACAGTCAGAATCTTTTGAACAATGGGGGGCTGCAAGTACATCTTTACATTCCCTAATAGCCAAAACAACACTATAATTGGCAACGGTTAAGTCGAGGGCTTTAGTTGAACACTCATCAATATTTAAAATAGTTTTATTATATTCTGATAATACAGAAATTGTGCACTCTTTACTTGAACATTGGTCATTAATTAAATCATAATTAAACCCGATATTTTTTGTTGAGTTGATTGTTGTTAAAAAGGGGTTGCAACATTGATAATAACTGAGTTGTTTATTGCAACATGGGTTTGAAATATATAGAGGATCGTTACTATTAGTATATGGGCAATTTGAAATGGATTTTTTGATTTGGACAAAATCAGATTGATAAAAACTGTTAATTTTATTTTGACAACCTAACCAAGCATTACTATTTAAAAGGGTATCTAAAGCAAATCTATAACTATTTGTATCAATTTCGTTTGAACTTTTAAGTAACAAAGCTGAAACATTATTCATTAAATTACTAATCTCCTTATACTCTTCACTAATACATTCATTGGATTCTTTTGATGATTTAAATTTTACTATTAGTTTTATTTGCTAAAAAAAAAAAAAATTTGTTTAATATTAAAAACTATTATTTTATTATAATAACAATAATAACAATTATATTTACCTTTCCTTCTTTGTTAAATAAATGTTGATTAATTACAAATGTTGAATTTTTTTCCAAAGTTTCAAAATCTAGATATTTCTCATAAAATAAATTTGATTTCTTGTCAAGTAAAAAAGAAATTTGAAAAGATTTTGGTTTAAAAGAATTATAACTTGGAATGACATTTTTTATCTTTGTACCAATAAAATAAGGGTCTTGATATACAGGGTTTAAATCTTTCTGAGGGAACAAATTAAAAAACAGGCTCTTTTCAAGAGATAAAGTTATTATGAAATTTTGAGTGTAAAAAGCTTTCTCATTTAATAACAGTTTTGATGTAGCTCTTAAATCAAAATAACCTGCTTGAACTGATCGAGATGATGAAAGTGGGTATTGATATCTAATTCCATAGTTATTAACAGAAAAGATTACTCCTGAAGCATAAATTGGAGCTAGCCTTATATAAAGTATTAATGGATGTGTACTATTTATTGGTTCTAAATATAACAATAGTTTATTTTCCCCTAAATATAAATAAAAATAAAAAATTAATACACTAATTTTTTTTTGTTTTAGTTCAACTTTAATAATATTCATAAAAAAAAATTTTATTTTAAAACTTACTTTGTTCTAATAATTGATATGTTGAGTTATATAAATCGGGGTATTTATTATTTTCGTCATCAGAAATATAAAGAACAGAGAAAGAGTCAACGTTTGGTAAACTAATATAATAATAATCTGGTTTGGTTATTTGAAGAGTGAAAAAAATTGGACGTGAGATATATAATAAATTTTGTTCATTAAGATTGATACATCTATGAGATGGATGGATTATTTGACATGGTTCAGCAGAAGGATCACTATCTTTAATTTCTATTGAGTTGATGATTAAAGAAAATGTAAAAGAACCTTCAATTGGTTCAATTACAATAAAATAAGTATCGGTTGTCCACGATTCTAAAATAATAATAAAACAATTGTTGTTATTATTAATTTTAATATTTTATATTTTAAAGTGAGGTTTGATAATGTAAAAATATAGCAAGTGCTTACCTAGTTGTTTTTTAAGAAACGACTCAATATTGTCATTGGGGCAAATATTAAAATTTATATTTCTTTGAAATGCTTCACCTCCGTAAGCCCTCTCATTATTAGATCTAATGTTTTGTGAAAGTAAATTTGAACCAATTGATGAATAACCATAGCCACTGATAGAAGTTACCTTTAGACTAATACCATTACAATGAGTGCCATTTGCCTTAAATCTGAATTGTGTTTTTGTATTTATTGTATATTCATATTCTTTATTCATCTGTTCCAGCACTATCCAATCACCATCACACTGATAGTTTTCATTGTCAGGGCATTCTTTGTTACACAATGGGTTTACCTTTGGACAATTACCTTTTTCTGTATAATCACAAGAGCAATCTATAGTTGAATTTATGGTATCTGGACATTTAAAACTACTACAAGTAAGCAAATCATAGAGATAAATATCTTGATCTACTTTGATATCTGCAACTGCATAACTAAAATCAACTCCTAATATATTTGTATTTCTTTGGAATATTTCTGTACTATTGATATCTAAACCTATAATAATATTTTTTAAAAAGAAAAAAAAATATTAAAACATATTAAAAATCTGATATAGTTAATTAAAATAAATACAGTATATATATTTAAAATATAAAAATAATATTATTATATGTTTATATAGAAGCATTTTATTGAATATTTTTTTTTTTTTTTTTTTTTTTTTTATTTTAAAAAATAAATTTTTTCCCCAAGATTATTATTTAGATATTTCTAGGTTCAAATAAAAATTTGCCGTTGCGATATATTTTGGGATGTTTTTTTATAAAAATATTGATTTTATTAAAAGTTGCGACTATATAATCAAAAAACCAAATTATATAACTATATAAATAAATACATATACAAATACAAATACAAATACAAATACAAATACAAATACAAATACAAATACAAATACAAATACAAATACAAATGCTTTATAATAAAATATGAGAATTAATAAAATATTTATTTACCTTGTTTTTATTTCATTTTTTGTTTTATTTTAATTTTTATTTTTATTTTATATTTTACAATTTAAAAAAAAAATTTCAAACAAAAAATAAATTGAAAAAATAAAAAATATAAAATACAAAATAAAATAAAAAATAATAAATAAGTTAATTATAAATATCTTTTATTATTTCTGTTTTATTTTTTTATTTTATAACTATTTTTATAAATGCTATCTATAAAATGACTTAATTAAGTTTTTTAAATTAATTTTTAATCCTACTGGCAATGCATTATCTATAATACTATCATTTTTCAAATATAATAATGCTATACCATTGATATGGTTTTCTTCAAATGTTTGTACTAATGTTGATAAATTATTTTGACGTAATAATTCTGAAACTTGGCCCATATTTAAATCTAAAATTTTTTTGTTGTTTAAATTCTCTGTGATTGGATTTTTTCTTCCCAAAGTTCTGTTCATTTCGTATTTGAGATTCTTTTTAAGACCAAAAGTATATATTCCATATCTTTCAGATTTTTCCTCTATATCATCAATTTCTAATAGTGCTAAACCGGACTTGTCGATACTTCCAAATATTGGAATAAGACTTCCAAGTACATTATTATTTTTTAACCATTCACATACTTGAAATGGTCCCCATTCTAATATTTCATTTATTATTTCTTCTCGTACGTAACTACTCTCATTTGAATATTGATTTGAACCTACAGCATCCAAAACTGGGTTATGAATTTTTCTAACTTTATGATTATTATTATTATTATTATTACTATTATTGGTAGTAGTAGTTGTTGTTGTTGTTGTTGTAGTATTTGATCTGCTATTTGTATTTGATTGCTGGTAGTTAGAGTCATCACCCTTTAAAAAACTTATTAAATCCGAAGAATTATGGAATGATGAAATTAAATCAAATAATAATGAAATTTCTACATGTGGTAATTCTCTGCTAACCTCTAAAAAAATGTGATAATTTTTAACTTTTTGTTCATCAGGAATATCCATTATTTGTACTTAATAATATTTGTAAGAGTAAAAAATGAAAACTTAAAAAAATTAAAAAAAATATAATTAAAAAAATTAATAAAAAAATTATAAAAAAAAAGCACTTAAAAAATAAAAATTAATAAAAAAAATTAATAAAAAAAATAAAAAAAAAGTAATCTTAAAACAATCACAAAAAAATAAAAAAAATTTTGAACAAAATTTTGATAATAATTCACCATATCATCTTTTTATCTTTTGGAAATGATTTGATTTTAAAAAAAAAAAAATTAGAGTTATATTTATTAATTATTAATTATTTATTAACAATTAATTATTAATTATTAATATTATTATTGTTACTATTATTATTATTATTGTTATTATTATTTAAATTATTTAAATAATTTATTTTCTTTTGTATATATATTTTTTATTTCCTTTTTATTACAATATTATTTTTATTTTTTATTACTATTATATTATTATAATTATTGTTCTTAAATATTAATTATTATTATTATTATTATTGTTATTATTATTATTACTATTATTTGATTTTAAATGGGATTGAGCCTCTTCATACAATGATCTATAATAAAAAGCTGTACTAAATAAACTTTCAATTTCACGTTCTTCCCAATTTTGAGTTGGTGGTTTTTGTAAAAATATCATAATATCTGGAAAATCTCTTTGTTTAATATCATCGGACCATAAAACTAGAAATGCAGCGCAAACGTAAACATGAAAAACACTGAAACCTTCCTTTTCACTGAGATAAGTATCCCACATACGAATAACCAATGGAAATGGGATCTCTCTCATGAGCAAACAATTCATCCATCTAAATGCAAAAGCTATAAATTGAGCATCTTGATCGGCTAAATGGGCACATAGTGAATGATTGATCTTTTCTAAAAGGCCTTTTAATTGTGCTAACATTCTTTGTATTCCTGGTTGTGCAAATGTGTAATGATCTTGAATACCATCTAATAGTTTTGTAAGACACCAATATGAATCCGCTTCAACATTAGCCAACATATTAGATTCGATTTTATCAACTTGACAACACATAATATCCTCTACATATTCTGATAAAAATACCCAAATAAATGGTGTTGCTAAATCGTTAATACCTTGAACATATCCTGTTGATGGATGTCTAATACTCCATATATATAATATTCTTTCTAATAACTATAAAGTTTGAAAAATAAAAATTAATAAATAAGGTCATTTATATATATTTATACACACTAATGTGTTACTATCGCTATTACCATTTGAATTTTTGGATGTTGAAATAATGGTACACCTGGATTTGTTCTTGGAACATCTACCTGAATTTGTTTTAAAGTTTTTCTATCAGCTTCATTCTTTTTTTCGTCACATATATAATATTGTGGTAAACTGTCTCTATACTCTTTTCTTTTTCTTTCTAAATGTTCATCTCTTCTTTCTTCATTGGTTGGTAAATAACCCAATAGTATTTTCCATGACATTGCCCTATATTTATCGGGTATTCCCCTCCATCCCAATGATTTTAATGACTCTAAATCAACATTAGACCCTGTTAAAAGCTTTTCAAATTTCTTGGTTCTATTATTATTTAATTGTGCTATATTCTGTTGTTGACTTGTTTGTGAAGTATCAATGCCGCCATTACTTGAATTTAGTGATGACGACAATGAATTGGGTGAAGGTGGTAGTGATGTTGTGCTTGATGTTGAAATTGATAGATGAGTGGTTTCACCTGTTATATTTGTAACTGTTGTATTTGTTGTTGCTGTCATTGATGTTGTTGTGGTGGTAGTTGTAGTTGTTGCTATATTACTGTTATGTATATTTATTGAATCACCTGATGTTGTTAAATGGGATGAAAACTGTCCATGACTATTATTACTATTATATATACTGTCATAATCTTTTTTCCTATTTGGTATCATATTACTAAATAAGTATAATTAAATAAATATGAGTATTAATAACACATCCTACTACTATTACTATTTAACTAATTATATGCTATATGAAAATACCCATTAAATTTTTCAAATCTGTGTGGATGAGTATTATTTACAGGCTTTGCAATACCTGGACTTTTTCTTGAAAACCTCCAAAAAGCCTCTTTGACTGGGCTATTTGTATCACTATGACTATTACTCATCTTCCTATATATATGTTGAAATTCTAAAAAAAATAAAAAAAAAAAAAAAAAAATATATATAAAAAAAACTATATAAAAAGAATTTAAGCTATTTATTTAAAACATATATATATATATTCTATTTTTTTTATTATTTTATAATGCTGCTGTTGAACCTATGTTAAATAAATATTTTTCTCTGTTAACATAAAAAAATTAGTTTTTTATTCACCAAAAAAAAAAATTAAAAAAAATAAAAATAAAAATAAAATAAAAAAAATATTTTTTTAAAAAAAAATATAAAAAAAACAAAAAATATTATTTATTTATTTAATTATTAAATTGATTATTATTTATATAAATAATATATAAAAAAATAAAAAATACCCACACTATTTTTGTAAATCTATAAACCAAGTTATATTTATATATAAATAAAAAAATTTTAAATTGTTTTTTTTTTTTTATAAAAAAATTTTAAGTTTTGTTTTAAAATAAAAAAAATAAAAAAATTAATAAAACAATATATATGTGAGTGTGGGAGGGTTTTTTTGTTGGTTATTTATCTAATGAATTTATTTACTAATTTAGTAGTACAGTTAAGGAGAAAATTAATTTTAAAAATAAAAATAAAATAAAAAATTAAAATAATAATAAAATGTGTTGTTGGTGTGTCATGTGAACATTATACAGTTATAATCTTACATTTATTATAATAATATTCCAATATGATTTCTCTATTTGTTCATTATAAATAAAAAAAAATAACAAAAAAAAAAAAAACAACACAACGGCAAATCGAAAATTTAAAAATAAAATAAATATTTATAAAAAAAAAAAAAAAGATATTTTTATAAAAAAAATTAAAAAAAAAAAAATTAAAAAAAAAAAATCTAGATTTAATATTTTATTCTCTTTTTCTTTTATTACCATCATCCAAGTCCATTTTTGTAGATTGGGTTAAAGTTGATGATTGAGTTTGTTGTTTTTTATTTGATTTTACAATTGGTTGTTTTTTGGTAGTGGTGGAGGTTGTAGTTGTTGCAGTTTGTTTGGATGGTAAAGTTTCTTCTTCAAGTTCTAGGATTTCCTCATCATTAATTTCATCATTATTATTATTATCATTATTATCTTTATTATCTTTATGTTTATTGTGAGGTATTAAATTTCCTGTTGGTTGTGTATCTTCTTTTCTTTCAATTTTCCATAATTCCAAATCTTTTAAAAGTGATGGGTCTGAAACTATAGCAGTACCTTTAGTTTTTCTAGTTATTGCGTGTAAAACTGCAGAATGTGGGTGTTTACTAACTGATGCTTTTGCTTGATCAAATGTTAATCCAAATAAATGACCTCTATAATATTATTGTGAAGATTGGTATACATTAGTTAATTATTTATAATAGATATTTTTAATATTTCTATCAATTGAAATACTTACAAATTTGAAATATCATATGGGCTTCTTAAAGTTGTTTGTGATTTACCAGAACTACTTAAAATTATATTTTTACCAAATGATGATCTAACAAGGGATGATATCATGTTAAAGAATGCTGGTCTATCTTTATCATGAAAAACATTTGTATATAAAAGTTCTAAAAATATACCTTTTGCAATGGCCTGTCTAACTCTCTCGGGTTTAATAAGAAACTTTGATTGTGTATTGACTGTAATAATATCGATATCGTTTGAGTTACATGCAGCGTTGAATATTGCTGGGTCGACAGGTACAATACTGACAATGTCATATGAGTTTACAACTGGGTTATTTGAATTGATTAAATTAAAATCTGCCATTGTTTTACATATAACTTCTAATCTTGTATATTGCTTTAATGTTTTATTAGCACTGCCTACATTCATCCATCCTGATACTGTACTATTTTCCAAATCTTCCTCTTTAATCTCAATCTTTTTAATTTTGCAAATATCTTTATAACTTATTTTACCATCGACTGTGTGTGTTAATGCAACTGAATCATATCCAACTACAATACATAAAAATAATATTAGTATAATAATATAAAATTATAAAATCGAAATAATAATCTATTTACGTTTTGTATGGAGTAATAAAATGTTCTTTAATTTGGCTTCTGGCAATGATGCATCTACATTCAAGTCATAATATACCATTTTATTTATTTATCTATATTAGGAAAAAGAGATTAGTTTATCTCTTTTGTAATTAATTTATAAATTTATAAAAATAAAAATAAAAGAAAATAAAAAAATAATTTACGAAAAAATATGAAAATTAGAAAAAAAAAATAAAAAAAAAAAAATTAAAATTTTAAAAAATTATTGTGATTTATTTTTATTTACTATTTTAATTAAAATCAATTTGATTCAAGTCATAGAATATATTTGGTTTATTATTTTGCAAAACAAGTGGTTCAGAGATTAGACACATTACGGTAGTGATTACGCCGGAAAAAATAACATCAAATGGCTTCCAAATGATTAATACCAATAAAATGATCTGGGAATTTAACCAAATTTCGTTAATTTTCAAGGCAGACAATATCATTACTACAATAAAGACAACGATAAACGATATCGATAATGATATGGCCAGTGTAGTAATGTACATAAAGTTATGGGCTACAGTTAGCTTGGTGGGGTTGTTGGTCATCAAAGTAAAGGTCTTTCTGGCGGATGTGCAGTAGGATTCACCGTATATAGCAACCATCGAGAAAGAGTAAACGTTAAAGGTGAATAGTATACGATTAAAGCAGCACAAGATATTAGCCAACAAATTAAAAAAGAAACGAAGTCCGGGTAATCTTGCAAACATCCTGCAGAGCATCTCCAATGTTGTTATGGCACATACAATCAACGAACCTAGTGCAATACTTCCAAATGATGTGGTCATGGCTCTTGAAAATGATGAAAGGCATGGATTTGGTGGCATGTTTGAAAAGTCTTCGTTGGCAAAGAAATACCAGGCAGCAAAAAGACCGGAACTTGTGCTATAGCAGATATAGATTATTACATATTGGGTCCAGTACATGTTGAAAAATAGGAACAATACTTTCATGACGCCAAAGAAGCTATTGGCCTCATAGATTGCAAAGCCTGCAGTGTAGACCCATAGATTACAAAAGACCATTGTTAAAACGAGTGAAATGAAGCTAACACCGATAATGGATGGGTATTTCTCGACGACGGTGATGGAGACCGATATGACTTTGGCAGCAAATGAAATCTTACTTCTAAAGCAAAAGAAAAAGCTTACAATGCAAACAAGTGTTACAAATGCCAACGAAGCACAGAAGTACTTTTCATTTCCGATAAAGAGTGCTATACCGAGTATCAACATTACCACCAAAAAGAAGAAACTGGTTTTAATCATATTTACAGGATGGATCTTGAATATTCTCTTCCAAATCAAGAAAAATATTAAAATCAATGGAACTACAATTAAAATGGCAAGGAAACCTTGGAAAACATAGCTAACTATACCCTCTCTAATTATAGGATCATTAATCAAAGAGCTTACAAACAACAGTACAAACAGTGCCATTTGGACAAAAAATAAAACTGAAAACATGGTATCCTTATGTTTTGGTTTGTCTGGGAATCTGCCGCCAAATCCCCCGCCATCGTTCAAAGACATTCTCTCTTCTCTTTTATCAACTACTACGCCATTTACAATTATTCTAGTTGGTTTTTTTTTAAATAAAGATTTAAAAAAATTTGAGCTTTTATTTACTATACCATCATTATTATCACTAGTATTGTTGTTATTATTATTATTATTATTACTATTTATATCGATTTCGGAATATCCTTTATCATTTTCATTATTTATTGTGTAGATACTATTATTGTTATTATTATTAATATTATTATTATTACAGTCTTCAGAGGCTTCATTTAATCTTTCATATGGCTTTTTATCTTCTATACCCATTTTTTTTAATATTCTATTTATTATAAAATAAAATTAATAAAATTGATATTAAAAAAAGATAAAAATAATAAATTTGAGTATTATTATAACAATAATTAAACTTTTATTTAATTTTTTCTTTTATTTGTTTTTTTTTTTTTCTATTTAATTTAAATTATATTTATTTATTTATTTTTAATTTTTTGAGTTCCAAATTTAGTTATTACCAATAATTTAACTAATCTATCTAATTTTTTTTTTTTTTTTTTTCAATATTATATTTTTAAATTTATATTGTCGCATCCCTTAAAATTTATTTTTAATCCACCAACACACTCCTGTCAATCTCCCCCCCAAACTTTTTTTTTAAATTTTAATAAAGTTTTTTACTACAAATTAAACACTTACCACACAACACTCCCCCACACTAAAAAACAATATGAATTAAATATATAAATTAAAAGAAAAAGAATACATCATTTAAATAATATTAATTTTTTTGCTCGAAAAATTAAAAAAAAAAAAAGTAAATGTTTAATACAACAAATTGTTATTTTATATTGTGTTAAAATTGATATAAGGTAGCCTAAATTCATAGGATTTTTTTAAATAAACACTCTAATTTGGTTATTGCTAAAATAGACAACCACATTAGGTGATGCTATAAAATTGTTATTCAATATTATTATATAAAAAAATTTAAATTAACTTATTATACATCAAGATTTGATTTTTATCCACACAAAGTAATCAAAAAAAAATAAAAACAAAAAACAAAACTTAATTTTAAAAAATACAACTTTATATTTTTATTAGTGGTAATAAAAAAAATTATAATTATTATTACTGTTATTAATACTATTAAGCTTGAACTAGTTGGTTATTAATTTTATAATTAAAACCAAATGATAAATCTCTATCACCAGATAAAAGAATTTGTTCAAAGAAAAATGTATTGTTAGTATTTGGCATTTCTACGGTAACTGGAATTACACCTTGTCTCTTATTTGGAACTGGAGCTGAGGATTTACTTAAAAAACTATGACTTTTTTTAGCTTTGTCGCTAAAATCAATACTTTCTCTTCTATTTAAATTCTTTCTACGATGGGATTGGCCAGGTGCTGGATTGGAATCAGAGGCTGATGATGATGGAGCGGGTATTTGGAAATATGGAACATTTTTAAGATTACCTGTAAAATCTGAACAATGTACACCACGTGGCAAACATATGGTAGCGAAAACTGCACGAAGTGGTAAATCAATCTTTGGTAAAGTGAAACCAAAACGGCCTGTATTGGATTGTCTATTAAAATTATGAGCATCCTTTTGAAGTAAAACAATTTCGATTTTGATTGCAACATTTTGGTCGAAAACACCAGGTTTTAAAATTGGAATTAATAAAAATGGATCGCTATAGGAGGGACGAATTGGTTCACCATCCATCATAGTAGTCCAGATTTCATATTCGAATGGTAATCTGAGTCTAATGAATTGTTTTTGTGTATTTTTAATTTGAAGTATAATTTGATGAACTAGCTTTCCGCTATCGCTACAAGTGGTTATGAAATGAGCACCTTCGCAAATGGAAACCAATACAGCAACATCATTATTTCTCTTTACTTTTAAACGAAGTTGGAAATCTGGTTCTAAATATTTATAGCTTAAAAGAATTGGATGGCTGGCCATTGACGATAATTGGATTGGTAACTCTTTAATATCGGTTACGCTAAGACCAAGGTTACCAATATCCGAGATTTCAACATTAGTTCTAGCTTCTATACCAAGATAACCTCTTTGTCTATTAATTTCGTCACCTTTACAAATCATTGATGGAATATTGATTTCACCAGATGTATCCTTCATTGAATATTCTGCATTCATATTTATGGTGAAATCACTATCAAAACCATAATCCAAGGTTATTTGTACTACTCTATTATGACTTGGTGATGTTGGACTTTCCAATGCTAAAACCTCCCATCTTTTTAATGCTTGGCATTCGACATTTACAATGTTGATATCATCTTGGATCTCAATATTAAATAATGATAAATTGCCTGCAATAATCTTTTTTTTTAAAAAAAATAAACATATTAATATTATTATTATTATTTGTGTTTATAATATTTTAATTTATAATACTTACTTTATAGTCAAATTGACATTTTAATAGTAATAAACCTTCACCAATTGAGCCAAGAATACTTTGTGAAACAATAACATTAGGTTTAACATTAACTTTTGGAACATTATTATTATTATTATTTAATTGAATTTTATTTGAAATGAAATCATCATTGATTGTCCATTGTGCTTTTAATATAGTGTCATTAGCAAGCTTAACAAATGTTACTGTATAATCGTTTGCATCTTTTGAATGTTTTTCTGACCACATATCAAATGCTTCTGTGTCAAGGAATGAATTGAAAACTTTAATATTTGCATTTTTTTGTGGAACACGAACAAATACAGAGTTATTTGAGCATTCTGGAATAGATACTTCAAAACCGGCTTCTTTGACAGTTAAATATGGCAATGAGCATTCTAAAGTGATGGTATATCTACCTGGAGCACTTGTGTAAAGATAATAGCTATGATCAGCTGTTAAAATACAAGCACCAAGACTTTCCCCACTAGTCCAATTATCACCAGTGTTTGATTTACAATATTTAATTGAACTATTTAAAATTGTAGCTTTTTGGGAAATTAATTTAATTGATTCTTTTGTAACCACTGTATTATTGTTACTTTTGTTTTTATTATTGAATACTCTAATTTGAAATTCACAATCGAATTGTGCTATTCCACTTTTTGAAGTGATTTTGTAAGATGCACTTGAAATTAAATAATTTACATTTGATCCTTTAGAATCAAGTTGAATTTGTTGATATAATTCATATGGTACTGTAACTTCACCATTTAAAGCTTCAATCATGTTTATAACTATAAAAAAGTTGTATCAAAATTTAATACAAATATATAAATAAATAAAAAAAAATAATAAACTATTTTAAAAAAAAAAAACTTTAATATTGGATATTAATAAAACTTTCTAAATATTTTCTTAAAAAAATATTAAAAAAATAAAAAAATTTTTTAAAAATTTAAAAATTAAAAAAAAAAAAAAAAGGTTAATTAAATGAAATGAAAACAAATAAAAAAAGGGGGATATTTATTTGAAAATAATTAGGAATGATCATTCCATTAATTTGTTTTTATTAATTTTTGTTTTGATTGGTATCGTTACTATGGTTATTTTCATCGCTATTATTATTATTACCATTTATATTATTACTATTATTATTTATATTTAAATGTTTTATATTTTGTGAAGCATCTAATAAATCTCTTAATAATTGATTTTCTAAATAAACTTCGTTTGAATAAGTTTGATAATAATACTCTTCTCCTTCAGCAGCTTTTTGTAATAAAAATAGCATTTCTGTTACTCTTTGTTTTAATAATTGGTTTTCCTTTCTAATGTGTATATTTGTTTCTCTTTCTTCATTAAACTGTTTTAAATATTGCTCTGATTTTGATTTTTCGCTTTGAAGAGATTTCTATAAAAATATTAATTTAAAAATTAATAAAATAAAAAAAAAAACTATGTGTGATATAATAAAATAATTACCATTTGTAATCTTCCTTTTTCTACCAACCCCGAGATTGCTGCAATTGTTTCTGAATTTGATGAATCTAAATCCTCTTTATCTTTTTCTAACCTAAATATAACTAAAATATTTATTTACATTAATTAATATATTTTCGCAAACAAAAAAAACAAACAAAATGGGTACTTACTTTTTTTTAATTGTTCTGTTTGGATTGATAAATCTGAAATTTCTGTTTCTCTATCTTTAATTGTATTTTCTTTTATGGCCAAGCGTTCTTTTAAAGAGTCTATTTCATCTTGATATTTTTTAATTTGAGTTTCTATATTTACATTATTGGTTGTGGGTGTATTTTCAGTTATTGTTTTTACAGTACTATTATTATTATCTATGATTGTTGATTGTATTTGTTTTTCTTCAGATTTCTTTATTATTTCATTACCAATTTTAAAAAATTCAGAGTTTTTCTCTTTGTTGACTATCATTCTATTCTTTAGCTCTTGAAGATTTTCAAATATATTTTGAAGCATTTGATTAATTTTTTCATTTTTATTTAAATTTTCATCGAATTTTATGTCAAATGGTAATATTGCTTTATTGTTGCTACTATTATTATTACTGTTGTTTATTGTATTGTTTTTATTTTTATCCTCAACAGTTGTTGCTGTTGGTGATGTCAAACTATCTACATCACTCATTTTATTTGTTTGATTTTATTCTGTTTATTATGTATTATATTTTTTATTTTTTATTTATTTATTTATTTATTTATTATACTATATATTATTACTATATTATTATTATTACTATTATTAAAGTATAAATCTATAAATTACAATTATTTTGAGGTTAAATCACTCTCAACCCCCTAAATATATATTTTTTAAAAAAATTAAAAAAAAAAAAATAAAAAAAAATTAATAAAAAAATTTTTAAAAAAATTTTAAAAAAAAAATTTTAAAATAAATAATTTTTATACAAATAAATGACTTATCTTTTTTTTTTTTATAAAAAAAGTAATAGACTATACATACAATGTTTTTTAAACTCAAACAAAACTTAATTTAAAAAAAGATGAATATATAT